CTGAGCTAACATGTATTTTTAATATAGTTATTTTTGTCACATTCAAATTTGTTGTAAAGTGTGCCTTTTTTGAAAGAAAAATATAGCATCTAGCCCACTTCTCAATAAATCGAACATTTTAAGTGTTTTATTTATTTGTTTATTTAAACATGGAAAAACTTAACCACTTCAGAGCTGTTCTTTTGGCGAGACAGGTGTTTGTGAAATGTTAACATTTACATGAAGAAAAGTATTACGCATGGTTTACTCGCAGCTTTTCTCTCCTGAGTAAACCATAAATGTTCATTGTTGGGACCTGTCACTCATTTGTAGATGTTTGCATGTTACCTTGCTGTTACTTACTAAACAGCCTGAAATAATGAGGAAATATCCATTTACATACTATTGCCTGAATTGTTAGAAACATCCAAGACCTATTAATAGTAGATTATGTGTGATCAAATTTATCACAGTGCTTTGAGAATTTTTGAGAAAATGCAGCACACTGATTACTTGAATTTTCTGTAAGTTTCATTTGATGGTATATTAAAAAAAAAGTTTTGTTTATTAACAGTGTAGGATCATACTCTCTTTCATAACAGAAACTCTGCTAGATCCTACTAAGGCACCTGGTGACTTCTCTCACAGGCATAAAGAATGCCAGCACAGAAGAAGGGTAAAAATAATCCTTTATTATTCGTCAAACTCTGAACAGAAAAGGCGCATGCTTCATGCTTACAATAACACGAACAACTTGAGGTGAACTTAAGAATCATTATACAATAAATTCAAGTATAAAGAGTAATGCTGGACTACTAATTTAAGGCTAACTAGGTTGAATTAACAACCTACCTGGCGTGATACTTATTAAATGGCCAAAAAGGCATATCAGAAACTCCGCGTAACAGAAAGGACAGACTCGTAACGTGCGCTGGCTAGCGAAAATACGCTCTGAATAAACTAAAAGATTCACTCGTTTCACTGCTCTCTTTACTTAACTTCGTGCTTGCATCGTGGTGAGAAAATGCGAGAGGAAAAAAAGAGGTTTAGGAAAGGTGTTAAAATAATTTGTTATGCAAAGTAAGGGAAACCTTACAACAGTTTTTTAGATTAAAGGTGGAATGATTCAAAATTGTGAAGATTCTAGTTTGTCAATTCAGTCTGTTTCAAGTTTTACAGGATTCTAGATTTGAAATGTTTTCTCTGTCATTTAAAAAACAAAGTAGCTGATGATCCAGTGGGCATCTGAGGAATTTGTTCATTGATTTAAGGTTGGGTTTTTGTCTCATGTTAGTCCTTGTGTTAATTGTATGAGAAAAACTAAACTTTTTTAAATGAAAAGCCTTAGTGCCAACACAACTTATTTATAAATAATTTTCTTATATCTGATAGCATTCTTTCTGCAACACGAATTGTCCTGTGTTACTTGTATTACAGAAGAGCACGCTTAGGTTGAAAAAGTAAAAAAATAATAATAATAATAATAATAATAATAATAATAATAAAAAAAATAGACTGCTGAAACAATGTTGTATAGCATTATTCATCAACTGAATTAGAAGCCTTTTACATTATTGTAAAGGCTATTATACCTTCTTTGTATTTCATTTAACTTCTGCTAAACACAGTTAATTATTGAAAGAATTATTTAAGGAAGTTGGAAGTCAGAAGATCCCTGGTGTCGCATTTGAAAAAGAACGTAGTATTTTTTGGTACTTGCATCTTATGCTGTTGACTGTATCATATCATGCCAGAGTTGCACTTATCACTTGAGCAGAATTCTGAACAATACTGTTATCAGTAACTTTTGCCATAAAACATTTGTCAGTCTCTGCACAGTTCACCAAATAGCCCCTGTTATGGAAGTAATCACCTTTTTTTTTTTTTTTTTTTTTTTTTTTTGTGTGTGTGTGTATCTGGAAAGGCTTTTATGGATTTTTGCTGTTTTGTTAGGCCTTTTGATTATACCAGAAGCTCTGTATGAGTAAAAAACTTACCACAGATGATTGTTCCAATCAGTTATTCCTTCCTCACCCATGGATGATTGTTCCAATCTGTTACTCTTTTCTCAGTCACATACATTTGTTCATTTTCCCACTTCACAGATATTAATTCTCTTGACCAGCTGCAAATGAGTGTAGTCACAACTGTGCTCTTATAATCCTCAAAAGAATTCTTTTCAAAATGTGAGCAAAACAGCAATAACAGTTAATTCATATCTTTGTTTATAAAAAGAAGAAAATGCCTTATTTAGAATCAGTTGAGGTTATATCAAACAAAAGTACTAGTGTTATGAGTGTGTTGTGATGCAATGCTTATCCAGTACTGGCGCTGAATTGCACTGCTTTTAATAAAGGTATCCTAAATCGCAATGCAACAGAAAATTTTAACTGTTCAAGAACAGCTCCTTATATACATCTGCTAGATGCGCTGTTCCGATGTGCTGGAGATCGCACTATTCATTCAGTGGACACCAAATTTTAATCATTTGCATATTTGGTCAAAACATTTATGCATACGAAATTTCAAAGCAGTTGGATGATTTCTCCTTGGTGCGTCGAATTTATTTGTTATAGAGTGTATTTATTTGTATCTAACCATGTTAATTACGTAAACAATGTAAAATATTTTATTAGTTTAAATGCTTCTTTTAATTAAAAAAAATATGTCACTACTTCTAAAATGGTATAATGCAGAGTTGTTAACACGTGGAAGTCTAGTTGTGGTTTTTGAACTTTTTTTAATTCTAAGATGCAGCAAAGTTTAGCCACCTCTGATATGTATATGATATAGATAAGAATTGGGATGAATGGTGAACACTGTATATTTTTGAGAGTGATTCCTTTACCACAGGCAAAGTGATTTGAACACTTCAGTTTTGGAGACTTCCTCATTTGGTGTTGTACAATCCAGATTAGGCCGTAAGATAAACTGATTAATGCACCAAATTAAATGAAGATAACTGTCTTCATGAGAATATATTTTTATTCACACGCACACAAAAATATAACCATTTTTACTTCCTTGTACGAAGTAAAAAGGAAGTATTGTAATCATGAAAAGTTTCAGGCAGCATATTTCAATGAAAATATCCATTTTTACCGCTATCGAATACAATTTAACAATGTTTTTGCTTGATATCTGTACATAAGGACAGAATGAAATACTCTTTTCCTTCAAAAAAATTATAAAACTGCTTTAAAATTGATTCTGAAGAGAATTTTTCGTGGCGTCTGTACGAACGTATGTACGTACGTATTTCGCATAACTCAAAAACGAGTAGCCTCAGAACGTTGAAATTTTTTATATAGGACTGCTATAACATGTAGATGTGCACCTCGTATTTTGGTTGCAATCGGCTGCACCAAACGTATATAAATATATTTATATATAAATCCACTCTGTTACCCGGCTCAGTGATCTCCTTTACTCTTATATGTTTGTAAATTGTACATTTTTTGCTTTAAAAATGATTGTATTATGTTGTTTTTATCTTCCGGTTAAGGTTTTTATGCCTTTAGTAAACCTGTATGCAATATTTTTAGAATTATCAACAATTTTAAAGTTGTTTAAGTGCCGCTAAGCCTTTTTTTTATGGCGGCCATTGATGTTTACATTTGAAACAGGAGACTAGTGGATTTGTTGCCAATCTAGAAAGACTTAGCTTCGCAACAACAAAGATAACGCCTTCATTTATTATTGCCAATTAAATCATGCTTAATCCTTTCTGGAATTTTTTCGAGGCAATAAGTGTTTAAGATTTACTTCGTAATTTTTAATATAGATATTTTGAGTTTTTATGTATTTTTGCCTTCTCGCAAAGTGAGAACTGAATTAATTGAATGAGAAATACTCAATCGTCTGTGAAAAACTGTTTCTTTTTGTTTTGTTTGCTTAATTTCTTTTATACATCATTCTAGCTTTATTATAGTATTTGAATAGAACATGTGGCAACGATTAGATAATTCTATTCTTTAAATGATATAAATTTTGTGCATTATTAGTTATAATATGAACGAAATATATAAGTTAACTGTTATATAATTATTGAATTATGTAACAGTTACTTAGTTTCTGTTATGTAATTATTATATAAGTGTACTGTTATATAATTGTTAATACTGTTAAGTGAATCTAGCGCCAATGTGTCGCTATGGTAAACAATTACTAGAGTAAATTTTAAAGAATGCATTTATTCTATTGTGGTTTATGCGCTGTCGGCGAAGTAGATTTAATTCAATCCAATAAGTTTAAATGAAATGCAAGAAAAAATGCTTATAATTTAATATTCCATACAAGGAAGTCATGTGTACACATCAGATTTTTATGTATTAAAACATAGGCAGAATAATCTGCTGAAAATGCCATGCACACACCATCTCTTTTTGTCAACACTAAATCATTTGTATTTTTAGCGAAGTTTGCTTTTCTTGGCTTTTTTTTTCTTAATTTTTTAAAAATCTTACAATATATAATTGGTATACAATATTTAACTTGTATATCTCTTTTCAAGTAATTAATTCCTTTTCCTAATTTTTTCAGAATATGATTTAGAAATTTTGATTTATGGTACAAGGTATAAATCTGTAGCAAAGTGCATGATGCTAACAAAGTAATCATGCTGAAAGCAATTACTGTAGATAACTTTGAAATATAGAATACAGGAGTAGTGCAATTGTTCGTATGTGTTTCTTACTTTGTTAAATTCTTCTTTTAATCTCTTTGTAAATGGTGTACTTCTCATAATTCTCCTCTTGGTTTTCAAGAGGTAAAATTATTAAAGAATTTGAAGAAAATATATGAGTAAATATAGTGGTATGAAATATTTTTTACTATTACAGCTATTTTAAATGCGTAAGTCATTTTTAAAACTAGTCATTTATTGGAAATTTATTTCAAATGATGTGTGTGATTGGATATAATGTGATGCATGAAACTTTATGAGTAATTATTTTCTTACACTGATTTTACCTGATATTTCTTTGTATAGATTATGTTTATATATATTTATATATTTATAGACAAAACTATAAAGCTCTGGAAGGTTTCAGAAAGGGACAAAAGGATTGACGGTTACAACTTAAAAGATGATGCTGGTCATTTGAAAGATCCTCTTTCTGTTACTAGCTTACGGGTTCCGATTGTGAGACCTATGGAGCTAATGGTTGAAGCCAGCCCTAGAAGGATTTTTGCTAATGCCCATACATACCATATAAATTCCATTTCAGTAAATAGTGATCAGGAGACGTATCTATCTGCTGATGACTTGCGCATTAATTTATGGCATCTAGAAATCACTGACCAAAGTTTTAGTATCCTTTTATGTATAGACTTTTTCTAGAATGAGTATTAACTTTTTACTAAATATAATTTCTATATGGAGTATAATTTTTATAAAAATTGATTTTTTAAATTTAGAAATGCTACAGTCAAATCTGCTATATAAAACAATTGTATCACATCAAATTTTCTAGACGGTAAACTCTTGCTGAATATGGGGATTATGCCATTAATAAAGAGTGACACGTGAGTGGGAGATTTTGAATCATGTTGTACATGGTCATTGTTAAATATAGCAGCACTGTGTGAGACAAATGATAATGTAACATGTACAATGCAATTTCATTTGATGTGGAGCAGTATGCTTTCACAATGAAAGCATATTAGAAAAACAGTAATAGTTGTAAAACTGCACGACATCATTTTCAAATGCACTATCATGATATGGTTCCATTGGCCCACTCTTTGAATCGTGGACAGTCAATATCTGTAACATCATAACAGTATGTGATCTTAGTTGAAACTTTTTGAGGAATGAAGTACATAAATATGAAATGAATGACTCCACATGGTTTCAGCAAGATGGATCTACAGCTCGCACAGCTAGGATATCAATGGCCATTTTATAAGACTTCTTTGGAAAGCATATTGTGTCCATTAATGGCAGTATGAACTAACCTGCAAGATTGCCATATCTGACAGCATATGATTTCTTTTATTGAGGCCATTTAAAAGGTCATCTTTTGCTGCTTATATCCTCATCCACTTGGAGGAATTAAAACCTGCGATATGTGATGAAATTCTATCTGTTACTACGGGCGTACTGAGTGATAGAAGATAGTGAGTAATAGAAAGTTATGAGAAACATTCATTCATGAATGCAGGAATGCTTCCTGAGAAAGGGATGCCATTTAGATGATGTTATTTTCAAAAAGTGAGTTGTTTTTTATTTTTATGTAAATAACCTATTTGTACCTTCTTATGTCCAGAATTATGTAAGAATGTATATAATATTATTGCGCATTGCATTTTCAAAATCTGCCACTTCCCCAAACCACTGTGTACATTGCATATACAGAAAAATATTACACAAAGTTTACTTTCTGTGGAAACAATGTGTTAGTATAATTTAGATAAAGAAAGTTTGTTTAGTTTAAACAAATATAAATATTGTTGCAGTTAAAAGTGGGGAAGAACTGAATGCTAATTGAAAAGATTTTTATTGCTGTAAGATACATATATTGTTATTATTTTAAAGCTGGAAATTTTTACTTGGGAATACAATTCTTTAAAAGTTTCATAGTAAGGAGCACAGAGTTTTTCAGTGACTCTTATAAAGTGTCCTGTTATTTCTTCGTTTGGGTCAGACTGCCTTACATAATCAGACAGTTATTGAGCTTGATACTGACAGTCGCGAAAGGAAAGAAACGCCAACAAAAGCCAATGCTGAGAAACCAAATAAAGCAGTCTTTAAGTTGTAATAGGAAGTAACAGTTGCAAAAATTTACAGAATAATCAAGTACGTATCTAATGCAATAACATAAAGGTACTGAAAATTGGAAGAACAGAGTGATAGAATAAAATGGTCCGAAACATTCATTCACTAAATGAAATTAAGAACTAGAATTACTTTACATTAAAGCCCTCAGGGGGCTCACTTTTGTGAGTACGGGTGTGGCAATCCCGAGGTACCCTAGCCCTTCAGGGGATCATCTTCTTGGTGAGACGGGTGTCACGATCCTGGAGCCCCAGTGATCTATCCTCTTTTCCGTCTCCTCTCCTCTTGGCTAAAACTTTTTCCCTTCCCTTCTCCCTTGTGGTTTCTCTCTACGGAGTTTGGGGCTTGTCACGAGAAACTGGAACAGACCTTGTCTCTAGTTTTCGAGTGGCGAGAAAACTGCCCACGTGTTTGCCGTGCGTGGAGACCCGTGTCGCTGGAAAGGAGGGTCCTGGTAGTTGAGGGGCGAGGTACTGTCCCCAACACATTGCTTTGGCCTCTGCTTCAGCTAAACGGGAGGCACCTTAGTCGTCCTCACGGGTGTCAATCGGCTGGTCACTAGTCCTTGTGTCAGTGGCTTGGGGTCAAGCTCTCGGGAGTACCTGCTTTCGGGGAAGCCGACTGTGGGGCTTCAGTTTGCGTATAGGTCCGGTTAGCCCTAACACAGGAATCTGTGTTCCCATGTAGGGCTCCGTGGTGGGCGGGGCCGTCGAACCCGAATCTTTTCTTTCCTCATGATGGCTAACCCTAAAATTTTTCTTATAAAGGATTTTGAAGTCACTCAACCGAATTCTGAAAAGCTTACTGCTAAACCAGTCACTCAACCTAGTCCTGAAAAGTCTACTGCTAAACCAGTCACTGAACCTACTTCTGAAAAGTCTACAGCAAAAAAATTACGCACAGATACAAATGAAAAAAATCATAACAATAGTCCCCGTTTCCTAGTCATTTCTAGTCCTTCTGGCGAGCTGCAGAAGATGTCTCCTTTCATAATAAAATAAATATATTCATTCTTGTATTGGTGAGCCGAGAAATATAAAGCGTCTCCGCTCCGGAGACTTGCTTATTGATACAATCTCAGCCACCCAGTCTGCTTCTTTACTTCAAATAACTAAACTTGGGCAAGCGAATGTCACTGTAACAGCACATAAGACACTGAATTATTGTCGTGGCGTAATATCGGAATTCGACCTTCTGTATGTTCCTGAAGAAGAGATCGCTTCCGAGCTATCCGACCAAAATGTCTGCGGTGCTAGGCGGATCAAGATGCGTAAGGAAGGTAAGTTGATCGATATGAAACACGTGATCCTTACCTTCAACACGCCTGATCTGCCTAAGAATATTAAGGCCGGATATTTAAATTGTCCCATAAGACCTTATATTCCCAACCCTATGCGATGCTTCCAATGCCAGCGTTTCGGCCATTCTAAGACGTTTTGTCGTGGCAGCCTCACATGCGCCCGATGCTCACAGATTGGCCATGATTCTGAAAATTGTACCGCTGCGCCTCTTTGTATAAATTGCAAAGGTGAGCACCCAGCATTTTCACGCCTCCGCCCAAAATGGAAATTGGAAAAAGAAGTGCAGACTGCAAAGGTTACGAGGAACATCTCATATGAAGATTAGCCAGAAGATTAGTCCAAAGCACACAGCTACGACAAAATACATCTTACGCCAATGCTCTTAAAAGATCTCGCACAGTTGCCACCCAAACATCAGTTAGTATGCAGACTCCACCAAACAAAACTCAACAGACTACAAACAAGAAGAAGAAAACCCAACCCATACAGTACAAAATAAAGAAATAGTAATTCAAAGCAAACCCAAAACTACCACACGAAAAGAAACAAATAAAAATAGAAGTTCCAGCAATAGCTCTCTTGATGGAATGGTTTCTGAATCTGCGGATTCAGACGGTATAGAAGTAAAAGAGGGTCTGGAAGTTCCCAAGTATCTACTTCCACGAAAAACCAAACAAGAGCACAGAAAGAACAAAAACTATTCATAATGGCCACTCTCGTATCATGGAACTGTCGCGGATTCCACCGAAATCTGCTCGACATCAAAGCTATAATCAATGTTCATCAACCTGTATGCTTCGCAATACAGGAAACAAATTTAAAACCGGAACAACAAGCAAAACTTCGGAGGTTTTCTTTTGTCAGGAAGGATAACCTTGCAGGTGAGCGTGCCAGTGGAGGTGCAGGTCTCCTCACCTCACTGGACTACCCCTCAAGTTCATTTCCGTTGACGACCCCCCTCCAAGTTGTCGCTACTCAAACAAATCTTGATATTGTTGTAACAGTCATTTCCCTGTATTTGCCTCCAAATGAGCATATTGATCAGCAAGATTTAAATAACCTAATAGAGCAGCTGCCTGAGCCTTTTATCATAATAGGAGATTTTAACGGCCATAATCCACTCTGGGGTAGTAGAGACACAAATTGCCGAGGAAGACAAATTGAGCAGATGATCGAAGATCATAGCCTTTGTCTCCTGAATAATGGGCAGAATACTTACTTCCATGAGCCTTCAAGGACATTCCACGCTCTCAACCTTGCCATCTGTTCACCATCTCTGTTGCCATTTTGCACTTTTAGTGTCGGAAATGACCTGTACAATAGCGATCATTACCCCATTTTTGTGTCTCTTGCACGAAGAGGAGCAAACCCCATGTCGAGACTCCCTCGGTTTATACTGGACAGGGCAGACTGGGAACTCTTCTCTTCCTCCGCAGAGCTCACAGAGGAAATGGTAGAAGATGTGCATATCGATGAGGCTGTGGAAGATGTTACTAATATTATTATTCAGGCAGCTATGCTTTCGATTCCTAGAACATCAGGAAAAATGCTTAAATATACGAAACCATAGTGGAATCGCGACTGTCATGAAGCACTGAAAAAACAGAAAAAAGCATGGGGTATTTTTCGTAGATATCCTACTCTGCGAAACCTCATAGCCTTTAAAAGAGCCAAAGCAAATGCACGAAAAGTAAGAAGGCAGAGCCAGAGGGATTCCTGGATTTCATATGTGTCCTCAATAACATCCTCTACGCCTAGTAAGCGGGTTTGGGAAAGAGTTCGAAAAGCATGCGGAATGTATAAAGACCACTCACTTTCCTTTCTGGAAAAAGATGGCCGAGTGATTAGCTCCATAGAAGAAATTGCAAATACTATTGGTGAGACATTTGCTGCCGTTTCTTCAAGCAGAAACTATTCACCTGCATTTCTCTCTATCAAGCAACACTCTGAAATAAATCCCATCGCATTCAACTCTTCCAAATCTGAGCCTTACAATAGAGACTTTACTATGGTTGAATTAAGGAGAGCTTTGTTGCAAACACATAGGTCTTGTCCTGGTCTAAATGGCGTGTATTGTGAAATGCTAAAGCATCTGTCCTATAAGTCACTGAGTGCCCTTCTCACACTTTACAATAGAGTGTAGAAGGAGCGTACATTTCCCAGTGCATGGAGGAGAGCTGTTGTCATTCCTATTGCGAAGCCAGGGAAAGACCCGAGGAATCCCTCGAACTATTGGCCAATTGCCCTTACCAGTTGTGTTTGCAAACTGTTTGAAAAGATGGTAAACAGCCGCCTAGTCTACTTCTTGGAAAAGAATAATATTATATCGCCTTATCAGAGTGGTTTTCGAAAGGGGAGAACAACTGTAGATAACATGCTCCTCTTAGAGACATCCATTCGAAAAGCTTCTGTAAGAAATCACCTTGTCTCAATTTTCTTCGATATAGAGAAAGCTTATGATAAGGCATGGAGATACGGTATACTTCGCGATCTTCACGAGAGTGGCTTGCGCGGCAACCTACCAATTTTCATTCAGAATTTCCTGAACGCTAGAACTTTTCAAGTAAGAATTGGCTCTGTTTTTTCGGATGTTTTTCAACAGGAAGAGGGTGTGCCTCAAGGCTGTGTGCTCAGTGTAACCCTGTTTACTTTAAAAATAAATTCTGTACTAAAAGAACTTCCTCCCACCATCTTGGGATCTCTATATGTTGATGATCTGCAGATTAGCTGTCGAGGAGCAGACATGAGATACGTACAGAGGCAGTTGCAGATGGCTCTGAATAAGATCCAAGAATGGTCAAACAAACAGGGATTTACCTTTTCGAAACAGAAAACTGTGTGCGTACACTTTTGTAGGAAGCGAGGTCTCCATCCTGAACCTGAGTTATATCTAAATGGTACAATTATTCCAGTTGCGCCCAAAGTAAAATTTTTAGGAGTGACGTTCGACCGAAAATTGATCTTCCTTTCTCATGTTTTAAATCTGAGAAAGAAGTGTCTAAAAACACTAAATATTTTAAAAGTGTTGGCGAAACACCTCCTGGGGTGCAGAGCGTTGCTCTATGCTTCGCATTTACAGAGCGCTTATCCGCTCTAGACTGGACTATGGCTCAGTTGTTTATGGATCCGCTCGGTCATCTGTTTTGTTAAAACTGGATCCTGTTCACCATCAAGGTCTGCGGATTTGTTCAGGAGCTTTCAGGACTTCTCCTGTACAGAGCCTATATGTTGACTCTAACGAACCATCACTTTATCTGAGGCGTGAGCAAGCAATTGTCCCTTTTGCAATATTTTAATATTCTATCCCAACCTGAACATCCCAATAAGCTGTGCTTACTCGATAATGAGTGTAACACATTATATGAAACACGTCCATCCTGTGTTCCTACTTTTCCTTTAAGAGTTCGCCCTGTCATTGAGGAACTTTCCCTCTCTGATATGTGCCCCCAAGCAGTACAGAATTTTGAAATTCCACCTTGGGAAAATGCACGGATCCAGCTTCTCGATATTTTCAAACATCACGTAAAGGCGAGCACTAACGAGATCGTTTACAGACAACTCTTCGCTGAGCACAGGCACAAATATAGCAGTTATCATCCGATATACACAGATGGATCAAAGTCAAATGATCATGTCGGGATGGCTTTTGTATTTCAAGATAACATTGAGGGCCGATGCCTGCACCATGCTTTCTCAGTCCTAACATCTGAACTAACTGCAATATATTACGGTCTTTTGTACATCTCAAAGCTCTGCCACAAAAAGTTCATAGTTTATACAGACTCATATAGTGCTCTTAAATCCTTGGAAGCTTTCCCCAACATGCAGAATCCTGTGGTAGTGGATGTTCTCAAAATTCATAGAAATTTAACAATTCGAGGATATGAAGTCCTGTACTGCTGGGTCCCTGGACATGCAGGAATAAAGGGAAATGAGCTTGCAGACATCACAGCCAAATATGCCGTTGAACCGTCCACTCGCCTTATTCCTTTTAGAGACATCTGCTGTGTAATCAAGGGGAAGATGCGGAAAAAATGGCAGCAAATTTGGGATGTTCAGCATCACAACAAGTTGAGAAACGTGAAGCCTAGAATTGAACATTGGGATTTTGCTGGAAATCGTAAGGAGGACGTTCTTTTGACTCGCCTCAGAATAGGTCACACTAGAGTCACACATAACTATCTTCTCAAAGCTGAAAATGAGCCTGTTTGTTTATCTGTTCGTCATATTTTAATTGAGTGTCCATGTTTTAATAGTCTTCGCCAGAAATATTTTAATAGCTGTGACTTACCTCTCGACCGTTTAATCGGAAGAGAGGTCAATTGTAATTTATTTTATTATTTAAAAGAGATTGGCTTTTATTACCTAATGTAATTTATTTAGAAGACTGTGTCTTGAATTTTAATATGTGCTTTTAACTTGTGTTTATATGACTTCATCCTCTGGATTTGATACATTTATCTACTTGTTTTTATTTATTGAATTTTAATGACAACAATTGTAATCATCCCACCTTGTGTTTGGCGCGTCATAATCATCTCTGGTTTTTGCGCCATAATCACTCACTCACTCACTCTTACTTTACATTAAATGAAGAAATAAAATTGTGAAAAATATAATTTAAATAGAAATAAATGACATCTGAAATATAAATATTTAAAAAAACTTATGGAATTATTATTTTAAAAAACGTAACAAAAATTAATGAAAAATATTATGAACATATAATTAATGAAAAATATGGTTGAGTGTTCAACGGAAGTCATGTCTTAAGTCATGTGTGCCCTTTTCATGAACATTAACATGATAGGCAAATTGCTACTTATTTCATAGTAAATAGCTACTTAAATCATATTTTTCTGTATTCATAAATTATATTTTTCTTTATTTATATAATTCCATTATTTGTATCTGTGTATGTGTATTTGATTATTGTAACTTTGTATAGATTTTATACAAATTTTCATGTCTAGTATTGAAAAATAGTTTTTATTTAAAAACTATGATATTATATATAATCTTGCTTATTAATAAAAATAAACAGTCATGAATAATCAGTTTTTGAATTTATTTTATATGGTTATAGTTTTTGCCCTTAATTGTTGAAAGATATTGTTGATATTAAACCTACGAACATGGAGGAATTAACTGAAGTAATAACTGCAGCAGAATTCCATCCTTCTCAGTGTAATGAGTTTGTTTACAGTAGTAGCAAAGGAACAATACGTTTATGTGATATGCGAGCTGCAGCATTATGTGATCAGCATGCCAAATGTGAGTTATTTTCAGTCTTACATAAAATTGGACAGTTTCTAGATCATATTTGAATAATATTGAATATTGTTTCTTTTGTAATATATATTAGTTGGAATCATTAAGCATGAATGGCAACTATAATGTAATAAGGATGAATAGTATAGCAGCTATACAGGTTGTAAAACAGCATGTGCTATGTTTAGCTTGGGTTGGTTGTTGATTGATTAAAAAAAAGCACATGACAGTTTGCTTAAGGCATAGCTATCTTCATGGAGAACTTTTTTAGGCTAACTAGAAGGGAAAAATAAAATAAAATACTAATAAAAAAATGCTTTTTGAATTACAAGAGTAATTTCACATGTGCTCAAACATATGTGTGCTTTGCCTGGTTTGCCACAAATACTTTTTTGTGACATGGTGCATTGCCTTATGTACTTTTTCATGTTTCTTGAGTGGAGATGTGGATAATAAAAAAGTACTGAAAAATCTGTTGTTATGAACTATTACTAAATTCAGAAACAGTTTGAGAATAGTTTGAATTTTAAAATTTGAATACAGTATGGGTTCTGTGTAAGAATGGGGGAACATAATTGTTGGATGAAATAATATATTTTTTTTTGGGGGGGGGGAGGTTTGTTAGATAAAATTGTTTAATTTCTGATTTGAGACTACTGTACTGTGAAGGCTTAAAAAGTGTTTAAGAAAAGAACTTCTATGTGAAAAAAAAATGGAAACTATGATTGAAACTTTCAGTGATGTGTCTAGGTATGCTTCGTTTCTGATTGTAATGGATTTTTAAGTTTCTAAGTAAGTAGGTAAATCATTATAAAATCTGAAGTTGTCAGATTTTATATTATGCCCAAATAGGCATTTTTTTTTTTTTTCATTTACAGACACATTTCGAGAGCATTTAAACTAACGCCGCATTGGGCTACAAATATTTAGAAACAGCATATCTTTAGAATTTTTTATAGACATTGTGCGCTGCAGATAAAACTATTTTGTTCTCTACAGTATTGCCACTGCTCACTTTGAAACTGTTGAGATTTTAATAAAAAATCGTTAAAGATTTACAAAATATGATAGAGACAATAAAACAAATTTGAAATTCCAGTGGGGTTCCAGGTGCCCATGCCAGATGGAGGACTCTATTATTCAAAATTTGACTCTGTGTACCGTTGTTTTTTCACAGTGCGAGAAATATACGCACATTTATTTTGGTTCTTCAATATTTAGTTTTTTTAAATATTATGCAGCGCGATTATATCGTTAGTGGTAACAATTTAAAAAGTGATTCGGACATCTAAAGCAATTCAACACAGATTGCAATTTTAAGACTAATAGCCCTTCTGGGCTAACACCAGTTTTGATTAATAATAATAAAAATGAAAATTTTTTAACATTGTGTCTTAATAACAAGTTTAAAAAATACTTTTTTTTTTTTTTTTTTTTTTTAAACAACAAGGATCTTTCTGCTGATTCTAATTTGATAAAGTCAGCACATCCTGTTAGTTATTACAGGTATTAATTTTTTTCATGTATGTTTATTGAAAAACATAATGAAACAAATTTTAAAACATAAGTTTATTTCAAGTTCACATATTAGAGATAAATTTGTATTTAATTTTTAAAGCAAAGTATTATAAAATTTGGAAACAAATATATTCACTGGAAACTAATTTTTTAGTATATAGTGTTGCTCAGATGCCATAATCACATTGAAACATTTGCCAAAGAATAGGTTCTTATATACACTGCTGGCCACCGTAAATGCAACACCCTGAAGGAAGCATGCAAATAGCATGAAATTTGTAACATGCATTAGCGGAGATATGCAAATGATTAGAATTTCAGCGCAGATGCACATCACGCGCGCCTGTGGCGACACTTCAAAGCGCTTTTGGAAACTTTGAGTAAAATAAGAGAGAAATTTATTTTTTGTCTTGATCCTGTTACAATAGAATGCCGGACAGTAGAAAGTGAGTAGTTTCAGTTGTTCCTGAATTTGTTCGACAATTTCAAGTTCGGCAATTGTGTTTTTCTTGTGGGTTAAAAAAAAAAAAAAAAAAAAAAAGAAGAAGAAGAAGATCAATTATGCCTTGTAGTAAACAGCGATCATCATTTGATCAAGTATCCGAGTTCAACAGAGGAGGGATAGTGCCTTACCGAGAGTTTGTATTATCTTTCAGGGAAATCGGTAGTTGTGTTGGACGAAACCAAACAACTGTAATGCGGATATGTGACTGTTGGATGCAGAAGGAAACACGGCGGACCAACGTGTTTGATCACATACACCTCAGTGCACCACTTCACATGATGACAGGAACATTGTGGACATCATGGCAGTGATGGATCGCTCGGTCACATCTTGAACCATAGCACAGCACATACAGTCTGTAATGCATCATCCAGTGTCTGCGCATGCCATTTGACGCTGTTTACAGCAGAGTGGTCTGTCCGCAAGACGTACATTACTTTGTCTACCCTTGACGCAGAACCACAGACATCTATGCCGCCAATGGTGCGATGAAAGAAGGATGTGGATGGCAGAATGAAATAAAATTGTCTTTACTTACGAGTCGCACTTCTGTCTGCAACACCACCATGTTCGGATTCGAGTCTGAAGACACTGTGAAGAGAGGATGCTGAACAGCTGCATTATGCATCGGCACACAGGTCCTGCACCGGTATTATGGTATGGGGCGGTATTGGAATCACTTCTCGCACTCTCCTAATATGCATTGCCGGTACTTTAAACAGCCAGCGCTACATCTCCGAGGTGTTGGATCCAGTTGCTCTTTCTTACCTTCAGAGCTTGCCCACAGCCATATTTCAACAGTATAATGCGCGACTACACGTGGCACACATTGTCCAAGGGTTCTTCGTCAATCGCCAGATTGAATTGCTTCCCTAGCCGGCTCGCTCTCCAGATCTTTCGCCGATAGAAAACATGTGGTCCATGGTTGCTGAACGATTGACCCAGATTACATCCTAAGCTGCCACAACAGATCAACTTTGGCAATGTGTGGAAGCTGCTTGATCTGCTGTACCCCAAGAATACATCCAAAATCTCTTTGAATCAATGCCGAGGCATATGACAGCGGTGATCTCCAACAATGGCGGCTACTCTGTCTGCTGATTCTGGAAGGAACCTCACTTCACAGAAGTCTATAAATTTAATCATTTGATACTTGGTAAACATGTTATATACTAAATAAATTTTGTTGTGATATCTCTTGTCTTTCTTGGTGTTGCAATTTGGGTTGCCAGCAGTGTAGTAACATTAGCTGGGGTAAATAATGTTATCTAAATTGATAGCAGATGCATATGTTTTAGTAACTTAAATGAATTTTGTAGTAAAAAAAAATAGGCTGGAGTTTTTGAAGAAGCATTTAACTTTTAAAGATTAAAATGTTATAAGGATCTAATATGTTTTTTATTTATTATTATTATTATTTTTTTTTTTTCCCCAGTGTTTGAAGAGCCTGAAGATCCCACAAATAGGAGTTTCTTTTCTGAAATTATCTCAAGTATATCTGATGTTAAATTTAGTAACAATGGACGTTATATTATTTCTAGAGACTATTTATCTGTCAAAGTGTGGGACCTCAACATGGATACTAAACCAATTGAGTGCTTCCATGTACATGAATATCTGAGATCTAAACTGTGTAGTTTATATGAAAATGATTGCATTTTTGATAAGTTTGAGTGCTGCTGGAATGGCTCAGATGGGTAAGTTTCGTTAGATATAGGTTACTTATAAATGATTTTGTTGCAGAAATTAATTTTCAAGTCCTGTTGTTAATTGTATAAAATCCTCACCTTGTGGAAAATCTAATTTTTGTAATTCATTACTTAAATAGGTACATCAAGGCTGTTTTTTTCCTTCTGGCTTGTCTCATAGCCATGGTAATTACTTCTAAAAGTGGTTGAATTCTCTAATTTGCTAAAATTCCCTAATCTCGTGATGATGACTCATATTATGATCATGAATGAGGAGATAGTCATTATGACTTGTTTCAAAGTAACAGTACAGTATTCTGTGATTATTAATAGACTGCCGAAGTACCTTTATAATGCTGTGTCCATTAGGGACCGGATCCACATATAAATACAATTAAATTATGTTCTTGGAAATTATCTAGGAACTGCTATTATGCTGGATTTTACTCATTTTTGAAGGAATAAGAAAAAATATTATATAATTCAATTTATTCAAAAATCATTATTCTTAAATAATATAGTTCTGTCATTCTTAGTTGAGCATTTGCAAACTAAAATCAAATGCTTTCAGGAAAAAGCAGTTTTCTATATTTGCATTTGGGCTTTATTGTTTAGAAGAACTCCTTTCCTCTCATTTTACAGAAAGTAATAGTTAACGTCATCAATTTTATTATACTTAAAAAAATCCTAGTATTTTCTTGTATATCCTGCAGAATGCTGAGCATAACCTTTGTACATATGTCTGACTGTACTGTGGATTGGTTCTTTAGTTTGAAAATTAATTACTTCTGCTTCATATTTGTCTAACAGGTCACTTGTTATCACCAGTGATAATATGATCCATTAAAAAAAAATTGTTTGTAGTGATACCCATTTTGATTAAGAGGCATATTGTATGTTTTGAGATAGCACATCTAATACTAACATGTCCATTTTGGAAGTGTAACCTAACATATGTATTCTTCTTTTAAAAATAATGTATAAGTTTTCTAAATTGTTTTGTAGTCAAAGAAGGACCAGCTGCAGTTTCTGCTGTCTGGTCTTCTTAAACAACAAGCATTCATTTTGAACAGTATTTCTTATAAGTGATTCCTTAAATATGATTTTTCAATGAGTTGTTCTGTATGTCTGTGAAACAAATAGTATGGCAAGCTTTGGTAGTACTACTGTTATTTTAAGCAGTATCTGTATGTACTGTTGCTGACTTTTGTATTTAAGTACACTAAATAAAATTCTTAAAGTAGTTTAATGTTGCCAATTTATTTTATTAAATATTTTTTATTTTCCATATGCTATTTATCTTTTTTCAAGAAAAGAAATGCAGTCGTCTTTAACTACCATACAGAAAGTGCATTTAAGTTTAAATATATGAAAATAGATTGAATTTTGATATGTTGTTTGGTATATTTCAGTATCAATCAATTCTTGGATCTTATCTTTTTAGCTGTCATTAACTACAAAGAGTTCTAACCAGTATCCTGAAAATTATACCCATTTTAACATTTGCTTGGTTTTAAAAGAAATCAAGATGTACTTCTAGTACATCATCGCACGAGGCGAAAGTTCAAAATGAGAGTTCATGAGTATGTAGAATAAGAGCGAAAGATGTTCTTTGTCTTGCGCTACGCCGACGTAGAAACAGTCAGAAGAGAAGTCATGTGATCTTAAGAAGGCACCTGGTTGGTCGACATCGAAATCAGCAAAGTTCATTAACAGTTCTTAATTTAACGATAAAAGCACTTAATATGTAATAAATTTATGTATATTCCTTTAAAACATAGTCCATAGCGATGAGATTGACACTATTTACACAATGACACAGATGAGACAAGATGCACTATTTATACAATAATATTTAAATGAAAAACTTGAACTTGTAGGCATAGCTTCTGAGAACCAATGTGGTACTCAGAGTATGAAACAGAAAAACGCTGAGTCCAGAGTGGAAAATTCTTGAGTAAATAAAGTATGTACTAACTACAAGTTGAAGTGTGCTATATGCAAGATGATGATTAAATGAGTGAAACTATACAGTTGAGTTGTGGAATTGTAGTTAATCAAAGTAGAATTCCAAATCAATATTAGTAAAATAGTCAAAAGCGGCTATGCGTACTTCGATTTTACTCATCAATGATTTTGCTGTTTTGAATTTTTGTATGAATTCTTTAGTCTTATTTATGTGAGTTTTAATCTATAAAAAGACTGTTTCCTTTTTACTATCAGTGTTTAAGTTATTTGTTTTCCAAGTTGATTTAGTTGGTTCATTTGAAAGGGTGGGGAAGCTTTATATTGAAATCTATTGCATTCTTCTGCTGCTTTTTTGTCTTTTGCTGCAGCGATGGCTTTTTGAATGTTATTAGGGTGTTTTACACAACCTTTATAAATCGAGACATGGTTTTCTCCACAAAGGGCAAAACATGAAGGTTTGTTGTCCTCTTTCTTTTGAGTACAGGTGTAACTTTCGTGAGGCTTTGCACATTTCATGCACCTCGCTGTATAATGACATAATTCCCTCGTATGGCCATAATGTTGGCATTTATGACGTACAGGACCCTTTTTTGATTTATAAGAGGTGATAAAAATGTCTAATCCTCGTAATTTCTTAATATCATAAACTTTTTTGCCTTCAATACTTCGTTTGCATTCAACTTGAAAAATTGGAAGTTTCAATGTATTGCCGTCTTTTACTGTGGTGAGTTGAACTTTAAGGACAGGAATTCCATTTTGTTGCCGTTCCTGCTTGATTAATTCAGTATTTAAATTCTTGGGAAGTTTTTTGATAACTGCTTTTAATGGTTTTACATGATTTGGTTTAAAAGTGTGGTATCGGATTCTACGCTGTGTCAGTAAGCTTAAGATAAAGCTAAAGTGATCATAGTCATAGACTCTAATAGTTAAAGTTTTTTCTTTCATATTTCCTAAGTAATGGGTGATACCGTTACTTTCGATTTTGGCTCATCCCACTCCCCGGTGAAATCATCGAGAGCAATAGGAGGAACATGTTGTTTTTTAATTTGAGAATTCTCAGTGTCTGGAGTTTCTTCTTCCATTTGGTCATCATTATTTAAAGTGGAGAATTTGTTAACTTGAGGGGCTTCTTTTAGAGAGTTGTCCGTAATTGGATGTTTTACAGAGTTACGAGGGGAAATAAAACCTTCGCTATCTGTGACAGTACGTTTTTTCTTAGTTTTGGATGTCTTTCAAGTTGAGGGAATATTTTTCATCCTTACCATTTCAGCGATGGATTTAGAAGATTCATTTATGCTGTTAGTTTTCTTTTCACGTTCTTTAAGTAAAATTTCAAAATATTCAATTTCTTTTTCGAGATTTGCTTTTTCACGAAGACTCTCTTTGGAATCATCCCTATTTCTAAACGCACTTGTGAACTTAGTGAGACCATCCATTTTTTAATCATAGATCCTTTTCCTAATGCTCTCAGTGGACAGTAAAGGAGTCTTGAATAAATCCGTGACATTTTCCTCCATGTTGGGAACCATAGATTAAACCAAGCAAAAGCTAGATGACAGAATACTCACCAGAATTCAAGATGAACGGATCCATAGTAGAGCAATCAACATATTATCGTTCATATTATGAAACTCAAATGATCAATCAGTTGTAATTATAATTTCTATTTAACCAATTGTGCATCTTGATTAATGTTTTTTTTCCCTTTCTCAAGTATGTGTATTTATTAACTTATTTTTTAAGTTATTAAATTGCCAATTTTTCAAGTATAATTTCTTTTTGCATCATGTATAGTTATTTTTAAAAAGTCTTGACTTGTTTGTTACTTTATGTATGTAAGGTGCATAAGTTCTGCAAACATATGGTATTATTTTTAAGTTGAAAATATGTATTTTAGTTTCAGAAATCAAGTTCAGAATAAAAATCATCAAAGTATATCTTGTTTAAAATCATAATAATTGCATTTATTAATATTTTAAATTTATTATTTCGGTTTTATAATAAAATGTCTCCAATAATGCAGATGAGATGTTGGTATCTTGCAGTACTTATTATCCACACTCCTGGTTTCAGCATTTGGTAGAATTGCTGTTTATATATATATGTATATATACAGGGGTTGGACAAAAATATGGAAACACCTTTAAAAAAACATGTTTCTTTGCTTAATATGGTGTAGGAAACCCGTTGGCATCCAAAACAGCTTGCAGTCTTCTCGGAAAGGAAAAATACATTTCCTGTATGTTTGCCAAGGGAATATTATACCATTCTTCCTGTAAAATGGTGGCAAGTTCATATAACGATGTTGGCGGTGGATAACGAGAACACACTTTCCGTTCCAATGTAGACCACAAAGGTTCAATAATATTCAGGTCTGGTGACTGTGGTGGCTAAGGGAGATGGGACAACTCATCCTCATGCTCAGAAAACCAGTCCTGGACAATGTGAGCTGTGTGAACAGGGACTTTGTCGTCTTGGAAGACACCATCACCAACGGGGAACAAATTTGTGCCATGGGATGAACTTGATCGGCCAAAATGTTCACATAAGTCTGCAGTCATGTGCCCTGATACAGTTATCATGGGGCTAGCAGAGAACCATGATATGGCTGCCCAAACCATAATAGAAACCCCGCCATATTTCACTCTTGGCAACAAGCAGTCTGTATTATAGGCTTGAGATGGCATTCTCCATACATAAACTCGGCCAGAAGTGGGAAACAATGTGAAAGAAGACTCGTCAGACCATATTACTCGCTTCCACTGCTCTATAGTCCAGGCTTTATGACTTAAACACCACCTTTTCCTGTTGCGGGCATTAGCATCACTGATGAGTGGCTTCTCAATTGCAGCACGGCCGCCAATTCCCTGTTTATGAAGCTCCCTTCTAATTGTTTTGGTACTCACAGGGTTTGGTAACACAACATTCATTTCAGCAGTAACTTTTGCAGCTGTGGTCTTCTTATTTTTCGTCACAATTGCCCTTAATGATCGTCTGTAACGATCACTCAGGACACACTTTCTTCCGCGCTGTGATTTAGCAGATGATGTTTTTCCGCTTTTCAAATATGCGGAATAAATCTTCAATACAGTACCTCTTGAAACACTAAACACCTCGGGTACCTTGCTTACGGAAGCACCTACCATACCTGCTCCAACAATTTGCCCACGTTTGAAGTCTGTTAACTCTGACATAATGCAATGACAACCTCACATAACAGTACTCCGATCACAACTGAACTGTTTAGCACGTTTATGAAGTTGTATAGGTGGCATCAGTAGTCAAAAACGCCAGCGCCACCTACATATTTCATTAAAATCATTCTTTCTTTTCAAACATGCATTTCACAAGGTGTTTCCATATTTTTGTCCATCCACTGTAGATATGTATATATATATATATGTATATATATATAATATTTTATATATATATTTCTTAAATAATGTCTAGTGTACACCACAACAACAGCCAACTCGTGCATGCATGCACATGTGTGTCTTAAACACTCATGGCTTTACATGCTTTATATTTAACCATCATTTCGAAAAAACTGTAAGAACGTAAATGTCAATCATGTAGATCTTTTCCTCTTAAAATTACTTGTTTTGTACTAAAATTTTTCTTTGATATTATTTATGAATAGAACAGCATTAACACATACAGCTAGCCAACAAACATTTTTTCTGGTAATTCACAAAAAGGCCTATGAGTTTCAAACTTTTTATGGAAGGTTAGATAGTTACAAAGTATTCATGTGGCTATAATTCATGTAATTTTATGTGTCCTAATTATAATTAAACATTTTATGTTATGATAATGGGATGCTACTTAGCAAGATATAAAATCTAACTAGATGGCAGCAATCGTAATGATGCATAAAGCTTCATGAAAAGGTAAACTGTTTTACAGCTTATGATTGTAATATATTCAGGAGCAGTGACTTTAATGTCGTAGAAATTTTGATCCATAATGATTAGGAAATTGGAGGTGAATGCAGATTTAAATCTTCATTTTTTATTTTAGCAAACATGTTGCGGCCACAATCAAGTTGGCACATTAATTGCCCTATTCCAAGTGATTTTACATTTTAGATAAATTTGCAGTAAGAAGGAAAGAGCAGACAGACTTCAGTGTGGCCAGGCTAAAGCATAGAAAGAAAGTGTGTAATGTTCAGGATGGAATCTTAGGTTCTCAAAGCATTTTGTTTGGATAGTTAATATTGCTGTAAAATTATTATTAGCTACTTGAGTTTTAGTTCAATTTACATCACCAGAATTATGTAAAAGTCATATAACAGATTTTTCTCGAATTGACGCAGTACAAATAGATGTTGCTATTTTTAGAATAGAGAAGGGAAATTAATTTACGCTGCTAATTTAATCTTTTATATATTTATTTTTCTTACATATATGTATAAAGTTTGATGTCCATAATGCCGAATTCTTTCATATTTTCTCATAACATTGATCAGAGAACTGTACAAATTTGACATTGTGCACATTAAACATTATATATATTATCATTGACAGCTGTTCATGATCTGATATAAATAAGCTATCGTATTTGGCAGCTGGCACCCCATGAACAGAAAAGGAAAAATTTTTGCTATTTGCTTACTTATTTATTAATTGCGTTTATTGTTTAATTTTTAAGCAAAAGTTGAGGGAATTGTTAATTTATAAATGCATAAGCTAATGAAAGTTCAACTTTTTGGATACCTGTAAGGTTTTAACATTTCAAAGTATAATTTTTTTCATTAGTTGTGGGAATTTTAGCTTCAGTTCAAGTTGAAAATTTAAAACTTAAATTTCATTTCATGCATATAAACATGCATATATCTTTAGTTTATGTATTACTGTTAAACATTTCTTTTTCACCTTAACCAAATTTAGCATGTGTAATTTATGGGAATACTCTCAGCTAATCCTTATTGTAAAAGTGCAGTTATAGAATGTGTTGTTCAGAGGCTGATACACACAGTAAAGGATCCGTATATTGTGGTACAACACACTTTATTTGGACATAAAACAGATAAATAGAGCATGCAGTAAATTATGTAATACATTACACAGCAGCCTAACTGAGCACATTTACATGAAGGATATTTTGGCAGAAGCAGTTGCTGTGCTCCCTATAATCAGTATGTGTACACATAGTGAAAAAGTTCTTTCGCCTCTAATAGAATGTTTATTAGCTATGATGATAGTGCAGGGGTACTGAAATGACTGATCATGTGAGTCAGTTAGCATTCATAGGTAATTTGAATGCTAGGTGCATTCTTTTTACTTTGATGTTATGATAATTGCACTTTCTGAGCTTTAAGGAAAATTGCATATGATATTTTGAATGCAAAAAGGATTATAGTTTTTTTTAAATTTGTTAAGATTTTAATAATGATTTCAGAAGGTATTTGCATATCTTTAAAACTGACAGCAATCCAAGTTTGAATTTTGTTCAGTTTTAAAGTTAATTCCTCTCATACCAGTTAACTTTCTCTTTTTTTATAGGTACATTATGACTGGCTCATATAATAACTTTTTTCGAGTTTTCGACCGACACACCAAGAGGGATGTCACTCTCGAAGCTTCTAAAGAAATTGCAAAACCTAAAACTGTTCTGAAACCTAGAAAAGTAATTTGAAGCTTAAAGTATTTATATCTGACTAAATCTGTATTCTCCTAATCATGTATCTTTATATTTTAGAATATTTCTCTCTGATATATTTATGGAAAGTGCACATTTTGAGGTAATTAAAGTAATTGAAGAAATAATCTTATATTTTTCCTAAATAAAAAGAAGAGTAATTAATATCTCAAGTTTTTGTAATTGTTTATCAATGCAAAAGTAAAATTAAACATCATAACCATATTTACAGACAATGGATAATGTTTGAAGCTCGATAAAAGTACTCTTAGGTTAATGCCATATTTGCAAGAATTTGGTTTATTTCTTTCCTCACAGCTGTGACTCAGGTTTAGGTGAATGATTGGGAGCAACTATAAATAACATTCTTTGTTAACCCATCTTGGACCACCCTAACAATTTCCGCCGAAAAAATGTGACACTTCAGATCAATAATATGAGACAATAACACATGTAACACAAAAATTTTCAAATTTGTTTGGATTTTATTAAATTACAGGCTGTCCTGTTAATAGGATAGCGGCCCAGTACACTATTAAATTTTACAGAAATGTTGATTACCTACTTAAGAGGCAAATTAGCAATGAAAATTGGGAAAAACTTTCAATACAAAATCTAATGTTGCATAATTTGCAAATAGTTGTGTAAGTTTTTGGTTGCATGTTTTTAAATGGCATCATCTCTGGCATCCCGTGGGATTTTTTACTTTCAGTGACACTAAAAGAAGGATTATTTGCTTGTTTTGCATACTGGTTAGTCTCTACAACAGTATGTGATATCATGTCTTCAGCCATCATGTGAAAAAGTTCAACTGGAGTTTTTCCTGACACCACATTTAGAATATTTTGATGGTCTTAAAAAGAAATACATCTTGGTGAAAGCATGAATTGGGGCTCACGATTTGGGGCTTTGACATCAAAATTACGTTCTTCAGCTTTTTGATAAAATTTCTGTAGTTGCTCCAGTATCTTCTATTTCAGATTCGCTACATGGTACTGATATGTTACAGTTTGTGACTGAGTCATCTGTCTGTTCTTGATCACTAACTGAATCAGGTTCAGAGGCAATAATAAACATTTCAGGGTCATCAATTTCCTTCATCAGAGGAAGAATTCATATATTCAAGAGCATCTAGGGCTGTTAGAAATTTTCTTGCCATTTTAAAAATATTGATCTTTCGAAGACACTTGAAAGTTGCACTCAAGTAATAAACAGGGAAGTAACTGATCTGCTTTAGGGAAAAATACTGTGGATTATTTCTCCCAAATGAACAAGCACATGTGCAATTCTATAGAAAAGTTTCGTCTGAATGCCCGCAGAGAAACCATCAGGATCCAAGGCCAAAAAGAAACTTTCCAGGCTAATTTCTATTTAGAATGTTTATCAGTTTTATGCAAAAGTACATCTGCTACTACTATTGCCAAGAAAATGTCACATATATAAACCTTTTATTTAGAAAAACCTATTTAAGAGGTTATGTGACACACTTTTGTTATGTAGTACAAAAGATATCCAAAGAAAATTCAGAATAATCTATTCCCGAATCCTTCCATATGTCACGTTAATGTCTTTGTATGAATAACTATTGTTCAAAATTAGTTTGAAGGAATGTGATCCATGAATTGAAGGAGTGACGAGTGAAAAAATGTTGGGGATTGGACTGTTCTCCTATTTACAGGACACATATAAAATGCAAACAAAATACCTTAAAGATAATTTTTTCACGGATATTTTTATTTCTATGAATAATGCTATGAATTTACTAGCAGAAATGTATACATCTGTTTAGGAAAAATATAGATTTTAATTTTAAATAACAGCTAAAAAATAAATCATTTTAAAGGATTATTTTTAAAGACATTTTTTTAATGAAATTAAATATGACAGGCCATTTTTTTTAGCCTGCATAGGAAGCTTATGTTTACTTCAGTGAAGTTATGCCAAAGTTTATCTATTTGTTTACCTGTATTTTCCATTTAATGAAATATAATTGGGCCATTCTATATTTAGGAAAGTAGTCCAATATGTGTTAAAAGCCTGTTGTGGGGAAGAACATAACCTATGGGTTTTTCCCCCTTCCTGTTAGGGAATTAGTTTTGATCAGTTTTCATAATTTAACTCTGGTCATTGATTTTAAGAATAATTTTAATTTTCTAATAGTTATTTTTAATTTTGAAACCCTTTCCTTTAAATTTTTGTTTCTCACCTACAACTCCCTACCAGAGTAATTTTTTAGAATCGTATTACATGCAAATGAGGTAAAAATAGTATTTAAAAGGAAGGTTTTGCTTACTTTAGAAGAGCTTAGTAGTCTTTAGTGGCATGTTTTTGCTGTCAGAATGCTTCATTGTTAAGCTAATTATGCTTGGCCCTTTTATACGTGCCTGCTGCTATTCGCTGGTTAATTTAATTAAGAGCCGACTATGTTAGAAAATTTTGTACAGCATTGGGTAAGTCCAGTTTGGTTTAGCATTAAATTAGTTTCTTATTTACTTATCTTGATTTAAAGGCCAAGTGGAGGTTTTTCTGTGAGCCTGATAGAGAGACCATCTGTACTTTTAGTTTGAGATATTAAAGGGTGAGTTTAACCCTTCTCTGGACTTTGTCATTTATACACTTGGACTCAGTGATAATTCCCTACATAGTTCATCTAGCTTTCTACAAAGATAAGCATACTTAAAGTAGTTAGAAACATTACAGATTTTAATATTGATTTTAATAATAAGGAATTGGCATGCATCTCTCCTATGTAATTATTTCAATCAGCTATTGTATTGAATTCATCTAAAGCAAGCTTTTGTTCACGAAACTCGATGGATGTTAACTCCTGACACCATAAATAAGTGAGTCCTATGACAGTAATGAAAGGAATGCAAGATCTAGCAAACTATGTTTGTGTTTGGATACCTTTTTACTTCCTTGTATGAAGTAAAGGAAGTCTTTTGGCAAATTTTAAGTCATGTATTTTATTGCAGTTTAAAAAAGGGGCTGGGGGAGTGGATGGCTTTAACAGAAAAGTATCAGCTAAAGTTTTTGAAGCAAAACATATCTATGTGAGATTGCTCTGGGGGGGGACTCTAAAACAGCTTTGCATTTTTGTTCATTCCAAATAGCAGCAGATTTTGTAATATATATTTTTGTTGTTAAATTATTCTTGCTCCCTAAAATTTTAATGGGAACAGAATATTTTTCTAGTAGGTAAACTAATTAAATTCTTCTTGTTATGCAGGTATGCACAGGTGGTAAAAGGAAAAAGGATGAAATTAGTGTAGATTGTTTGGACTTTGGTAGGAAAATTCTGCACACAGCATGGCATCCTCAAGAAAATATCATAGCTGTAGCTGCAACAAATAATTTATACATTTTTCAAGAAAAATTGTAGTAGGTCAAGAAAAGGTTTGTAAATAATTTAATATATCTTGTACAGAACTCCTTAAAATGCTTTTTTTATTAATGTATTAATTAATTGCACATTTAACACAATGTTCCAAAAATGCTAATGACTTTACTGTTAAAGTTTGTAATTAATGTAATAATAATAATAAAATAAACTTAGAATAACTATAAAATTTTTGGCTTGAAAGAAAAAAGGGGAGTATTTTTTTTAAATAAATAAATTATATAAAATAAAAAAGAATATATAAAATAAAAAAGATTATATAAAATATTCTAATAGTAATTATTAAATGAGTAGGTTTTTTTTTTTTTATAATTATGGAATGCTTATTGTGAAACTTAATTTTCTGTGAAAATATTATCTATGGCTCCTGATGGTTTTGGTCTGTTGCAAAATGGTTACGTAGAGAGCGTGCTTATTGGTTATCTCATTTCTATTATTTAATTCTATTCTTGAAATATTGATCACTTTAAAAAGTTTTTGCAATGAGAGCTGTCACTGTATTACATTCATTAATTTTCAAACTGGTTATAAATTACTTTTGTACTGATTATTACCCTATATTTATCGTCCTTATAAGATTAAATTTTGAATGAATAAAATGTATTTTAAACGTTATTCCTACTTACTTGAAAATCAGGGAAATGAAAAAATTACCAAGACACAGTTTTAATAATAATAATAACATGTTTTAAATAGTAACTACGTAGCAAATATTGCCCTTTTTAAAAAAGAAAATAGTTACCTTAATAATTTTTTCTTGCACAGTGAGTATTACTTACCTCACAAATTTTATCAAACTATGTTTACTACAAATTTTATCCAAACCTGTTGAAAAGATTCTTAGAATCTTTTTGTGTGTATTTGAACAAGATATGATTTCTGATTCTTCACTGTTAAGCTTTGTATTTAATTTTTCATTTGAATTTATTGGTACAGTGTTTATGTATGAGGGATATATTATGAGAAATTCGCTGATATTTAATCTGAGATAAATGCATAATTAATCTTCATAATTTATTGAGTCAAATAGTCAATAATTCACTTTAGGCTATTTTAACTCGTAATCTGAAATAATACATTTAAAATTGTATTTATTATAGTTCTTTTAAAGTATGTTTTCTTTTTATGAACCTCTGAAATTGGGTCCCCTTTTTATTTTAATTATAAGTCTATTAAACTATAATAACAGAGTAACTGAGAAATTCTTGATGTTTGCTAATTATAAGTCAAGAAGTCTCATTTATTGTAATAAATTTTAATATTTATTTCTAGCTTATTGACTGGCAGAGAAGACTATCTGTGGTGTGAAACACGAGCATCCTGAACTGCATGTGTGCCATTTCTGAATGAAGCAGAAGTTATCTGCTCAGTACTAGTGCCACAAACAGATAAATGATGCTATTCAAACGAACTCCTCTAATTTTATTCAGAGAGTATGAATTTACTGAAAGATCGATCAACCGAGGCTCACTTCAGCTCTAAATATGGTTGTATTGTCAGTACTCTTACTCATAATAACCTGTCATTTTGATTCATTTTTGCGTTTCACCAAAACTGAAAGTCCCACAAATTCGGGCAATAATGTGTGGGACGCCAGTAGGACGTCAAAAGTGTTTAATTGACTTGTATATATGATAGTAGGCAGCATTATGCTGTATATTTTTGCTGCAAACCATGGAAGAAACTTTTTGTTGCATGCTTCTCAAAGACCTCATTTTTCATTGAAAGAAAAGGGGAAAAAAAAAATCAGTAAATGTAAATTCTATGAGTTACTGATGATAAGTGCATAACAACTGCCTTTTTTACTTGAAAATAAAAGGATTCTCAGTGTTTACATTGTTTATGAAGTATTCCTTTTGTACTGAAATTTATAAATATGAAATTTCTAGTTCATTAGAAATGTTCTGTAAAACATTGAAAACTTGTCGTATCATTTTCATAAGACAATTTTCATAGCATTGAACAGCAAAGTTTGTGCAGCTGTTAAATAATATTTATATAATTTGAAAGTTTAAAATTGAGTCAGCATTTCTTAAACTTGTATACACCTAAAAGTCTGTATGTTCTTCAATATAAAATTAGTTTGAGATATTTTGTGATAAGATATATTAATTGTTATTCTTTTAAAAAGAATCTGAATTGAAATAGAATTTGCTGGGTATGTTTTTATAGGAAATATTGTCATAGTTTTTTTTTATTTGAGTGTAATTACTATTGTTATTATTTTTTTCAAGTGCGTTTCTAATTAAAAACAGTAATAAAGTCAGAGACTTAACTTTTTTTTTGCTTGTTTGAAAATTATTCTGTATCAGTTATCATTTTGCAGGTGATATCTTCCTGCCTCTCAGGTATCCACAATGAGTCTGCCATCCCCAAAATAAAATTTTAGAATATAAGTAAAATTTCCTTTTCCTCGCTTTGGATTTTTTTTTTTAAAATTCAATATATGTTTTAAAATGTGACTTGAGAATCTTTTAGTGTTTCGCTTAATGTTCTAATATTTATTTTATATTGTGTTTACAATAATTTAAATCAAACAAATAAAATCAAAGTTATTAGTGTTTGTTTACGTTTTGTTTTTATTTCCCTGTGTACCATTGAAATTATTTTTGCATTATATTTTTATCGTATTATAATTTGAAATGACTTGAATCAAATTAAATTTTATCATTATAACACATTTTAAGTCATTTAGCAGTGAGAGCTTTTTCTCCATAGTATATGTGTTGTATATAACCCACTTTCTTTAGTGCCAATCTACATGTATATGAACAATTTAGGTTATTACAAAATAGTCATTGCATGATAATGTGTTGCCTTAATTTCTTTATAAGTTGTTCAATGCTATGTTTGGCCCTTTAATTTCATGGCATTTTTTTAAAAAAATTTGAAACATTTTGTTCATATTTGTATTAATTCTGTCCTATTTATTTAAAAAATTGCTAAAAATAAAAACTTATGCATTAAAAAGGTCTGTTGACAATCAAATCTGTGAAACGTGTGGCTTGTCTGTATGTTTAGAAGCATTTAGTCTTAAATGCAAAATTATTAAGTCACATTTTTTATTTATGCATTAATCATGAAAAATTAAATGTATAATAATGTTCTGTTTTATGCCTGTTTTTGAAAAATATGCATATTGACTATGAGGTAAAATTTGCTTAAATGATATAAAATTTTTTTAGATATATCAAATTACAAAAATGTATGGCAGAGATTTTAAAAGTGCTCTTTGAAGCTACTGTTAGATAGGATAAGGATGACTTCATTATATTTTTAAGACTAGAGAATAATGAAATGTATATTTCAATTATTTTTCGATTGAAGACATTTCATCTGTTGGATTACACCCAGCAGTGTTTTTATTTTTTGACCACAAAAAATATTATAAAATTTGTGCTGTAAAGTGTAATAATTAAAATTATTTACTGAAATAAAAGACAAAGATCTGCTGATTTATAATTTTTTTTTTTAAATCCTTGTTTAAGTGATTAAAATTTGGAAGTGAATAAAATGTCTCCAAGCAATTAACATTTTAATGCATTTTTGGAGTTATTTTATTAATTTATTTGTAACTGATTAGGAGTTTGGTCTTTTGACAAAAATCATTTCTAATTTTGTGCATGATGAATTGGGGTAACAGATTAAATTAAAGAAATAACACTTATGGAAGTTTTTAAAATTTATGTGAGGTAGTGGTAATTATCCAGACAAACTGAGCCAATCTTGATTTTAAGAAATAGTGACTTTTCAAGTACTTAGAAGTTTTACTAAATGCAAAATCTAAAAGAATGCAAACTTGCACTCATTAACCTTTTACATGCATGCACATGAAAAAGAGGCATGAATATACAGTGATAAACCAATTGGATTGAATGAAATGAAGTAAACTGTAATATTCAAATGTGATACATCAATTTCTAAAATAACATTCAGCATGGAAAGTATGCAAATAAAAGAGTAAAAGATAACCATTCTTGCTTCTTGGTTTACCATTCTTCTTCTCAGTTTACCATGTGACCATTACTATTACAATGATTTTTATGTAAAGCCAATTAATTTAAAATATTTTCTTTCAATATTTACATCACATATTGGGGCAATATGACATGCAATTTTGATTGATGTGTTTAAGATGAATAATCTGTAAAATTGGTTACTAATTAAGTTCATCTGCAGTGCAAAATATAGCCATGTTTGTTATTAAATTTCTGTTATGTTTTAATGTGACTGAGATAAAAGATAACTTATATTTGGAAGCAAGCTACCTAAATAAGTACATCATACATATTAAAATAAAGCCATTAAATAATTTTATTTTTTAATGTGTTGACTGCCGTGGGGGTCACCAGTGGCCGGCGACAAGACCAACAGTAAAAATATATAATTAGAGTAAATATCGATACAGATAAATTTTTAAATAATAACCATTGTTATTATAATGTTTTGAAGAGTAATAGATTTCAAAAATTTAAATAATAAATAGCAAAAATGTTCTGCAGCCCCTCGGGGGGTGAGTGGTGACCCCCCACCAGGAAAAATGCATTAAACACGACTACATAACTCACCTTATCTTCTGTAGATAATATTTTAACATAGTATGCATTGAATAATAAAAATTTCGTGTTGTCGCCACGTAAAATGGGCGTGGCATTCAACGGGTTAAAATTATTTGGAGGTTGCATTTGAAAGATGTGTAGTTTTTTTTATTACCTTAACAACCGTGTGCTCTTTAAATTTTATTTTAGTAATGAAAATATTTGCAATTAACTTATAGAGACATTAAGTATTTTTTTAAACAGGAGAGATGAAAAATGAGCAACGCCTTCGCCAGGACTTGAATCATGGGCCTCTCGAATATGCGTTGAGCATGCTAACTACAACACCACGAAGGCGGGAGAAATACCTTATAAGTTCATCTATAAATTTTGGTTAGTTTTTTAAATATAGCAAAGCAAATGGGGGCATTTGCTTTGCTATATTTAAAAGTTAATTTAAAAACAAATTTACAATCATGTCACACTTGGGGAAAAATTTGAAAAACTAACCCTTTTGCCTGGAATTTAACCCCCAGCATTCAGCATTCTTAACCACTGGTGGGGCATATTTGTAAATTCTCATGTTCATTCTTATGAAAAAACAAGCATGACATCAAAATCGTTTGATTAAACAAAAACCATATGTTCAGTTATTAATTAAACAAATGCTACATAGAGAAATTAAATGATTAACATCATCTTGTGAAAATCTTGATGAATCTGAATAGTCTGTTCCCAGAAACACAACATTATCAAAGTTGTAGTTTTTGCTATGCCATCCCCCAAAATGATTTATTTAAAGCTGAAGATTTGGGAATAATTAATTGATAGGTTTTTCCAAGAAATAGTGTGGGGAAGGAAACAGTAGCGTAAAAGCATTGCATTAACTTTCAACAAAGTTAGATCCGCTAAATGGTTTTTGCCCATATATAAATTATCTTGTCTCCTATGTAAAAACAATTTCTGTAACATCATTTTCCAAGTCATCCCTTCTCGCAGATATTCTAAATGGTATTCTTAAATCTTCATTAATATTAAGTATCACTATTAAAGAGTTGCCTTATTTAGCAATTATTTTTTTTTTATTAACACATATTTGTAAAATATTATATTTGTTTTTAAACCATGATAGTCTGTATAGAGGGTATTTACACATTAGAACGATTTCGAGGCCGTTTAAGAGTATTTTTTTATTTTTTTAAAAATTATTTTATCCGATAGCCTTTTTTCTGCACTATAAGTCAGCATTGTGATTTCCATGATGGAAGAGCTTTTCATAAAATTTCCAGGGGTGTTGATTTCTATTCCTCTTTTACTATTTTCCAGAGTCCATCAATCATGATAGTTTTATACTCGAACAGCTCTTTTCAAACCCCCATTAGTGTAACATCAAGGTACTTCGCAGGTATGTTTTGAAAAGATACATATATGCATTACGGGTCTTCATTTTTTGCAAGTACTTTTCAAAGGATGACTTGTTACGTTATCTTCTGAAGTTCCTTAGAAATCATCAGGATAAAGAGAAGGAATTTCTTCTGTAAATATCATGCGTAAAACTTTCTCTTGGTAGTATGTTGTTGATTTTAGCATATTTTTCCCACTTTTAATTTCCTCAGTAAGAGAATCCTCAACAGTCATAAACTCCTTACTGAAACTTTCTTTACTTTGATGTAATCAGGTGTCTACATTTTTTTTTTCTCATTTTTGGTAGTAAATAGACTATTTATTGCATTTATGTAAGTAAACCCATGCTTCATTGTTACAAAGTATTTGCATTTTATCTTCTGCTAAATAGGTTTAATGCAGGATAGTCCAAATTGTTCTGCATTGAGCCAAATAGGAAAGCATTAAGCTTGGGAAAAACTGCTGAAATCTTGGTTTATTATTTTATTTATTATTGCTACAAATGTATTTAAAGACTGCAATTGATTTCTGCATTGCCGAATTTTCTCTTGTTGCCAACGATTAAACACTAGAATCTGTATCTGTCTTTCTCGGGTATTCATTTGGAGTTGCCTTTCTGGGTAGAAATAATAATTGGCAGGTTTTCTCTTTCTGTAATAATGTTGCTGATTTTGCACTTAGAAATTTTAATATCATGCATTTCATAACGTTTTTAAATTATGGAATAGGAATATTTCTCTTTGGAAAGTGCAAAAACTATCCTTTAATTCACAGCTTCTTTACAAGGAACATTTTAAGGAAAGAATAAATTAAAAAGTAGCAGATTGTATTTCTCATTTCAAATGACAAGCTGTTGCCAGAAATTTTTATTCCAAAACATTTGCTTTTTTTAATTCTTTATCAAAATCATTCAAAAATGTGTAAACACCCTCTATATTTATTTTAATGCATAAGGTCTACCCACCAAAGTTTTATATACCACTAGGCCACATAAATGCATTATTTCATTCAATTAGATGTAGAATTTGTTTCTTTTGAAATGCATGCAACTGAATTTGATTGCATGCCACAGTATCCAAACAAATAACAAGTGGCCTTGTTAGGTTAATGTATGTTCTGTGTATTTGGATATCAATGACACTTAATGTGTCAATAATTAGAAAAGTATAAGGATAACATGAAAAGCATTGTACAAAATCTCTTACTGGAAGTCTCATAGATATTCAGTTATGAATTACTTTTAAGTTTATACCCCCTAAAATTTTGGATAGTTGAAAGGAAATAAATTTCAGATCAACATTACAACTTGAAGAAAAAAATAAAAATTCCTTACGCTAAATTTACAGAAATATAAGATTTAAATCATAGAAGGAAAGTTCATCCATAGGCTGTTTATTATGAGAGAAAAATTTTAAAATTCTGATTCAGAAACAACACATTAAAAATAGTTTATTTATTATTGAAAAATATGGAATTCCAAGAGATTCCTATTTAGCTGCGAAAATTTTATACCATGATCCATTATCACATGCAAGAAATCAAAAATTATAAATCAGAATACTTTTCTTTTGTGAAGATCGAAGAATACACACCCGTGTCTGCATCAGAAGGGGTCAGATATCAAATATAATTTATATTTACATGCAATTATACTTTTTATTGGTTCAGTCATGACATCAACAGAAGTATTCATGCAAATTGTATGGCTTTATAGCTGACTGCTAAAAAAATATTTTTAGATAAACAAACACCTATGATTTTTTCAGTATCTGGAGCTTTACATTTCTACATACAGTCTGATGATTGTTTTCTTAATTTTAAATTTAAAAAATATTTTGATAAAATACAAAATCTAACTTTTTACTCGTTCCTCTGGTTCTTATATTTATATTTAGGATAATTTTGTACTTTTAAATTTAAAAAATGTTTCGATAAAATACAAAATCTAACTTTTTACTCGTTCCTCTGGTTCTTATATTTATATTTAGGATAATTTTGTACTTTTGATATAAAAAATGAAACAAAAGGTTTGACTCCTGTGCAACAAAAATTTACAGAGCAAAATGTTAGCATTTGTACATAATGAAAAGTATTATTTACAAAAAGTATTCTAAGGTTAAGAGATTATATGGCGAGCAATTTTATACAGATTATTGTGAAGAATATTAATCAGTAATAAATTGTTGAAATATATTTTCTCTATAATGTATTTTTTAACTTTGAAGACATATAAATTACTTGTGGAAATGTGTTTGGCATTGTAAATTAACAAAATTATGATTAAAAACACTAGTAAATCACAAAAGAATGCTGAATGACATTCAGAGAAAAAAAAACTTTGATTATTAATTTATTTATTATACCTACCCCTCAAACGTGAAAATTTTTTTATAATGAATACACAGTATTCCTAAATATAAGTATAGGGACTGGAGAAATGTGCAAAAATTAAATTTTGTATTTTATATAAAGTTAATTTCTTTTAATTTAAGAGTTCTCAAACATGATAAAATATGAAGAATTTGATAATAAATGACTTCAAAGATTAAACTATAGTGTTTTGAAATGCATATTTTATTGACCCGAGGTTATCAAATGAAAAGAATTCTTAAAACATGGCAAACCTAAAAGTTTGTTTTTGTTTCATTTATAGTAATCTAACAGTTAATTTTAACTTCGTAATTTTCTTAAAAGTGTAGAATCAGCTTTTCTTCCCCCATCTTTCCAAATTAGTTTGAAGTAGAATAGGTTACAGTTTTGTTGAAAACCTGAGGAAGCATTTTCGATATAACACTGAAGTTACTGTAAATAAAGCAACACATAGTAATCTATAAATGCTTTTGCGTTTCAGCACATAATACTTTAGGGGGGGGGGAACCAAATCAATCTAAATAGAAGATTGAAAATATACAAATCTAAGTATATCTGGCAATGCATTGCTGTTTTGGAGATTTTACAAAATTCTGTCAGAAAATTCACCTTTGACAATCAAAAAATCCATGTTTATTAATTTTTAAGATACCATTTGTAGAATATTACCAACTAATTTCTTTATTTTCTTATTTATTTTTAGATTAACAAATTCATACTAATATATGTATTTTGAGAAAAACTGACAATATTATAAGATATATTTGTAGTCTTCTAGTCCTATTAATCCTTTGAAAACATTGATTGACCAGTATTATAACAGTGATGTTTGTAGCTTGAAAAGACAGATTATGGCCTATATTTTTGCTATCTGCTTTTGTAGCTGACAAAGAAATGTGATATTCGTGCATCTTTAATCTTATGTCTTTCAAAGCACCAGCTCAGGCTATCATGCTTTGCATTCTTAAAGGTATCTAAGCATTGATCAGTCTAAGAAGGCTCTGTTATATTGCAGGAAACGTTTCGGAGATATCTCACATAATACGGGAAATCTGTGAGATTCTCTAATTTTATAATTCGTCTTGCTCTGAGGATATACTTGAAATGCTTCTGGCAGAAAGAAAATGGAGGTTGAAGTAAAAAACTGTCTCTAAATTTTAATCTGGGAAAAATTAATAAAGGATGACCACAGGGTACATCTCAAAATTTCAGAAAAGAAAACAACTGTGCCCCTCTAAGAGCTTGCTATAAATATTAAAGCTCATTTTCTCTTCTGACATTTAAGACATTGAGTGGAGAAATAAGTGTGCAGCATTTATAATTTCAGTAAGAAGTTCTAGATACATATTAATCAAATTAATTTCATATTAATCAAAGAATACATTTAAAGCAAAGTAAAGAAAGAGTGTTATTCTACCCTCTGTTACATACATTAATTCTAGCTTTAAAATGTGAGATTAGCTAACAGTTTTATCACTGTATTACATATATAATCTAAATATTATTACTGACATTATCTGAAGGTTAAATTTTAAAAATAAAGAGAAAAATTTTGGCAATAATAATTCTGAAATAATACCATTCACATCCTAAATTCTTAATCATGAACTGTTAATTATGTGTCTTTCGATTACACAGTTTTTTACATTTATGCACTGTTTACGTGCAATTTGAGATCAAGATAAAAATGGTCATATAATTAAATAAACATATTCAGCAAATGGATTAAATGTCTGTGTAAAGGAAGTTAGAAAAATGAGATGCAAAACAACTTCTGTTTTATATACTCACTAGCACATATCTTTTTTACTGTACATTAGTTTTGACACTAATATTTTTACATACAGATAACATTAAGATTTCAACAGTACATAATGAATATCATTCTGTAAATACACATCAGTTCTTGTAAAAAGATTCACACAAAATTAGATAACACGCATTTTCTTCAATTGTAAGTATTTCTTGCACATAAATGTAATGGCATATCTTAGCTGCCAAGAAGAAAACATTATTTTTTTTATTTTGAGAGCTAAATAGGATTAATCAAAATACTAAATAAACTTTTATAAGCAAATTATTTAGGTAACTATTGTTTCATAATTTGAATTAATTAATAATTACATTTACATTATTGGAAGTTTCAATTACTTCAAAATGACTAATTAAACAAAGGACTAGGATATAGCTGCTTCTGTCAACAAATCTTGGGAACAGATGAAGATTTAGACTTAATTTATAAAATTTCACAATAAATACAAATAAAACTAAAGAGAATGATTCAGATCTAAAGAACATTGAGGTCACTACAAGAACAAGCACATGTACACACTAACATAAAAAAAGATAATTTTACATATTTTTCAGTTTCTTTCACTTATTAAGAATAAGCTTATCAGCAATTATAAATTAGTATTGCATCAACAATTTCAACTGTTATTTATTAAACAGAAAAAATATTTCATTTAATTTTAATGAATAATGAAGTATTTTTATGCAAGCTTATCAGTAAACACAAGTATTAATGTATATTTTTTTAATCAAATGAAAGTCTCAGAAATAGATAATAAAAATCTAATTTTTAATCTTTTCTCTCTCAATCAATCAATTTAATTTCAATTAGAATTTGCATTAAGAATTTTTTTTTGATATTCCCCCCCCCTTTTTCAAATAATATAGTTAAAGAAATGGATGCAGACTTCAGATTCTGCAGCGATTTTAAGATGAGAAAAATATTTCTACCATCAGTATAAACTTTACATGGCATTTTTTTAATACTGATAAAATATCTGATAATTCAATACAATAGTAAGCAAAATATATTTTTAATATTTTGTAAACTAAAAACGGAAATATTCTCTCCTCTCCATTTATATGTAAATTATAAATGAATGCATTATCAATGCCGCCTTCTTTTGTAATTCAAGGTATGGAAGGAAAATTAAATTTTTTTGTGATGTTATGGTTCACTGTGTTCTTTTATAAAACTGAATACAATATCCAAATCAGTGAAGATCTTTTGATATTTTAAAACATTCTTAAATGTGTTTTCAGACATTAGCCTTTTTACATGGGCTACAGAAACTAATATTTTATGTATTGAAGCCATTTAGGCAGCTATTTAATTAGCAAGGAACAGAAAAACAAATCAACATAAATGCCATTTCCTGCTCCACATTAAGTAGCAAATTTTAATTCTTCATAGTAAACTTAATTTCTTTCAACATCAATGTAGTGAATGCGTGAGACATAGATGTCCTAATTCCCCAGGGGAAAAACATGCTAATTTTTTTGCAATGGGCACATACATATTTGGAATTAATAGCATTATATGAAATAACAGAGAACCAAACATTATTTCATTTTATTTAAAATTTGTTGGTTAAATTATTTGAAATTATCTGATAATATTCTTTTTTTCCCCTTCTTTTTCTAATCAATTATTTTATTCCATAATTTTATTTCTGATAGACCTAGAATACAAAAAATTATAATTTGATGCATGTCAACATGAAATATGGATAACACTTTTATATTAGATGAATGTGATACCAAATAATTTACGAAAAAAATCTGGTCCAGTCATATTTGAATATAACAATCAGAGGTTAATTATTAGAGTTACAAATTTTTCTTAATTATAATTTACAGTAAGCAGTAGATGTCACACGTAGCTATTTTATTCTTCAATATATTGAAACATACCGGAAAATATAACTAGCTATTTTAGTGAAATATATGTATATATAATAAAAAAGTTCTGCTGCATACTAAATAAATTTGTACGTAAAGGAAAATAATAAAAACGTTTATTTATCTAATGTGAGAAAGATGCTGAAAAATTATAAGATCTCATCTACTGTTACAAACAGTACACCTAAAAATATGAATGATTTAAAAATAATTTTCCAAAAGTCTTTGCATAGACATTAAAAAAAGCAATTTCAACAATGTATTTTATAAAATCACTATGAAAAGTTATTCTTAGCCAATGCCGATATAAAGCCATTGTTTGATTAAACATCTTAGAATGTAAGATACTAAAATAAAATTCATGGAGGATAAACTTATATTTAATCCATTTTTACAGCATACTATAGAGTATTAAATTTATGTTCTACATATTATATATACTACATGACATTCCCAGATAGGGTAAACTTACACAGTTCTCTGATATTATTTTCCATTAAATCATTGTATTGGACATGAAGGTATATCAGTTGCTAAATGAGGAACTATTTTTGTATTTTTTTGCAACATGAGAAAATATGTTCCAAAAATTGGCTCATTTAAATAAAAGATAATCCAAGTTGCAATTTTTATACACACTAGTATGGAATTTTAACTTCTTTACCAAAAATGATCTAAAATATTGCAAGTTGGGAAAAGGGCCTGCAATTTGAAATTTCATAGAATAATAAATAATAATAATAATAATAAATGACAAATATTACAGTTTTTAAAATTTCATAATGTACAATTGTGTACCCTCAACTAAGTGTATGGAATTACAAAATATATAAAAAGTGGAATATTACTCATTATGCAACTGTTATGGAGACATAAGAACATGAGTTTGCAATGAAAAAGTCTGTATAATACTACTACTGTAAGCTTGCAAATACCAGTTAATTTAAAGATATATATGCATATTTTTGCCAAAAATATCACAAGGATCACATTTACTATAGAAAATGTAACGAAATGCTTCATTTTATGCCTCCAATGCAACATATATAGATAGATACACATATACAAAGATAATTTGTAGCAATTGTCTTTAAAATGAAGCACACACAATTCACTTTGACAACACTTTTAAGGAATTGACAAAGGGAGGCATTTCAGGCATACACACATAAAAACACAATGAAGTTAAAATACAAGAGATTGATAACAATTCTAATTGCACATCTGTTTGAAATTCTAGAAGCAATAATTAAGATGGCAAGCATACGGAGCTAAATAATATAAAAAGTACTACCTTAACAGCACAGTATAAAGACAACACTATAATTTGGCACTTACAAAGTTTTATGGATGTCATATTTACTGGCTCGGTTAGTAATTTACTTGATTTAAAAACAATTGCCACAAAATGATTTATATTTAAAGGGTATTTATCTGATTATAGCTATATAATTAAAGACTTATGAAGCACGCATACTTTCTTCCACAGTACTGCTTTAATCCCTATAGGAAGTATTGAATGAACTCTACTTCTCCAATAATACAAAACAAATCTGAAGAAACAAGATTTACTCTCACACATACAACAAATAACTTACAAATTCTTGATGGAAATAAAGTACTAGATCATCAGGTTAAAAAAATGCAATGCCCGAGAATAACATGCATTTATAAACAAATATTTTTAGAAAAATAATATATGGCTCACAACCAGAAATTCAACAAGAGTAATATTTGGCAGCAATTCCAGAGATAAAAATTAAGAAAATAAAGAGCGACACATCAATGATCAACTATATATAAAACGTATATAAATTGAACAGAAAAAAGGAACAGCTCAACTTTTTGACTAAAAATAAATGTGACAAAAAATTTATACATACATACATACATACAGGTATATAAAACTATGTTGAAAAGATTAACACAAATTAACATGTAGTTAGTTAGATCCTGAACTAAAAAATAATAAATTAATGCAAAGACCAGGCTGCAATTGATAAGATCTTAAAAAAAATTACACAAATATTTAATTACATTTTAAACACAAATCATTTCTATTAAGTTCAACTTGAGCATTAGTCAATAAAAAAATTAAATGATTAGTCTAAATTTCCTTTATATATAACAATAGTTTGATTTTAAAACCAAAAGGAAAAAGATTCAACAACAGGTACTAATTAAAAAAAAAACCATAAAAGTTTAAATTCACTTGCAGAGAAATGAAATTCAAACTTTCATTGAAGAAAAAATTGTCTATGTCAAGCAACGGATAGAAAAAATGACAGAGTATCATTTCTTATGCCAGAGGATGGCCTCCATCACTTAAGGAATTTAAAGCTGCCTTAGAAGATCCATTTACACGTCCATCTCTAAATTCCACACAAATTGCATCACCTTGTAGTAAGCCCTTCTTTTCTTCACCAACTGGATATAATGAATCATATACTGGGTTTGTAAAATTTGTTGCCTGAAATAAAAGGGGTAAAGAAAAAATAAATAACCATGCCATGTGATGAGCCTGTAACTTGCTGATAATAAATTTTAAAGGTATAACATAATGAAATGCCATGTTTTTTTAAAGTAATATTTTTTTTAGATGTATTACACAAAGTTAAACAAACTACTAAACTGTTATGAAATTCAAATGTAAACACTAGATACAAGCACATCAGTCATGAACACTTTATGAATGATAAAAATGACACATCATGAATGAAACAACAATGTTCACCATATAAAATAATCACATAATATAATATTACTGTTAGAAGTTGCATAACTTATGTTACATATGATATAAAAGTTATGAAATCCTCATTCAGCCACCCTGTTAAACTGCTAGCAATAGAATCCAGCATAAACTACAGTGTTCTGCATTTTTACTGATTGCCCACTGGTTGCACAAATGCACAAAGTTATGTGCGCAAATGCACATGTAATAATAATAAAAAGACTTATGTATGTACCTCGTTAACTAAAAAACTATTAGCCACAGAATGTAGAAATGTATATGAGACTGTTATAACATTGAGTTATGCACCTCCCTTTTTTATTGCAATCAAGAGTACCAAAAGTATATATATATAATGTAAGAAAAATAAAGAATATGTAAAAGATTAAAGTAGCAGAAAAAACTAATTCCCTTCTGTATTCTAAAATTAGTAACCTCTATTTGCACTGAGCTAGTTCGAGAAAAATCTATGTCATATGACTCTTACATAATTCTGATGATGTAAATGAAACTAAAACTCAAACAGACAATAGTAATTTTACAGCAATATTAACCATCCAATCAAAACGCAGTGAGAACCAAAACTAACTCAGTCTGAATTAAGATTTTACTCTAAACATAACACACTTGCTTTCAACGCTTTGGCTTACCTGCACTGCTGTCCGTCTGCTGGTACTTTCTTGCTACAAAGTTATAAAACATGTAAGCTTTTTGGAATAGGTACAATAAATGTGCCAACCGTTTCTGGCCACAACATGTTTACTGGAATAAAAGTTAAATTAAATATACCTTGACTTCCAAATTTCTTATTCCTCGTAGAACGGCATTTCAGCATTCTACGGCACCAAAATTCAAGGTGTTCATTGTGGATACAACCACCTGCATTCTACTACAGAATCTATTACAGCAAAGTCGACAGAACTGGATCTGTACCATGTCCATCTCTTTTTTTGTGCATACCTAAACGAATTTGGATGCAAGTTTGTGCCATGACTATTTTTAATTTCTGCGTTCAAAATCTCTCACTCGTGTTCTGCTAGTGTCTACTAAGAAAAAAAATATACTCTGTGATCATCTGTGTTAAGTGCTTTGCAGGTAATCAGTGCTTTAAGCTCAACAGGAGTATATTTCAGTCAACTACAAAATGATAAAATACTCAGCCATCAGTCTGTGTTTATAAAAAGTGTTTTGAAGTGCCATATGCGAGATACTTCTGTTCTGCATTGAACATTTACAGAGGTCATCAAGTGTCATGTACCTCGCACGTGTTGAAGTGTGGGAAATCTTTTTAATCAATTTCTAATTCCCGCGTTGTAATATACGGTCTTATGTTTATCCAAATGACTTTCTTTTGGTCAATGCGTATTTGAATTACCATTATTTTAGAGAAACAAACCTAATGCTGGTTCAGTGATTTTAAATTTTGTGTGAAAAGTTTTAGTTAAAATTTCTGCAATTTAATTTTATTGTTTTAAAACAAAAATGCAGTACAAAGAATGAAAACACAAGTATTCTTTTTGAAAATGACTTATGTTAAACATTTTTCATTACTATGAAGTGATTTTTATTTGAGTACTGCTTTGAAATTAAGGTATCTAATGTTGTTCATATTAGATTTTAAAATTTAGTACCATTTTTATTTGATTCAAGTTTTATGACACTAAAACATTTAGTTTTTCTAATTGTTTTACAAAATAATAAATTTACAGGTTTATAATTATTTTATTTAGGGAAGGTTATTGAAATTACTGTAATAATTAGAAATGACATTACTATTTAAAAATTTGAGATTTAAGAATTGATTTATTTTGAAAAAACTGGTACAGAAGTGTTTTGAATATAATTCAGAAAATACGTAATGTTTATAATTTAGCATAGTTATGATGAACATAAAACTACTAAAAAGAGAATAATCAGGGAGTGCTGGTTCAAAACAGAAGCCCTGTTTTTACCTCTGTTATTTGTTCTTTTACCTTCTTCATATCAGAAGATATAAACTTTGAAGTCTCCCACCTTATAATTTTGTTCATATAATTATTAGTTTTATACAGTCAAAAGTCGTTAATTCGGACCACAAAGCTACAAACTATCTGCGCGTAAGACCTTTACGGCTGCAAATATGCGTGTGTGCATGCCCAAAATACGTTTACGCATGTGCATTTAATGTATAACGGATGGTTTAATGTATAACGGACGGTATAAGAACACTTTTCATAAACACAGCTAAGCTAAAATTATCTAATTCAGTTAATGTTGCAGATTGCGTTGTTCCTTAATCTTCGAATTGGATGCGGCTTATTATTTTTTGCAGATTGTTAGAGCAATTTTATAAAAGTAAGCTTGAACTTTCGATTATGTCAAATAGAATTTCCGATATATATTTACTAATACGTAAAGGATCTACAAAGCGAAAGTATGTTTCGAAGTCCATTAAACAAAAAGTGGAATTGCTGCAAAAAATGGATAAAGGCATATCCTTTGTTTATCTACACCATTCCGAAAACTGTTTATCAATTTCACGCTGCTCTGTGGCGGGGGGGGGGGGGGCGCCGCAGCGTGCAATGAATTGAAAGTTGATCTGTCAGCACTATCCTTATCTTCAGGGCAGATTTTTTTATTTTATTTGGCTTATAATTCCTTAATAAATGTAGTATATCATCTCTATGTACTCCGTCTTTGATATGATTTAAATCAAATTCCTCGTCATTATAATTCGCTTCTGATAGCGAAGAAAGTAAAGTAAACAAATAAATATTAAGGTTTTTTTTTTTTTTTTGTAAATTTTGATACCCTTTAGATCATAATTGTTCTTTATTTCATAAATTATGGTTTCATATTTTTAATTTTATAATTTCTGCATGCCATCTTACCAGGTTTAAACTGATGATCTATAATCCGGAAAAATCGATAATCCGGAATCGCCGAAGTCCCGACGAGTCCGGATTAACGACTTTTTACTGTATATAAATGGAGTGTGTTAATTTTTTTATAAGTGGAATATATAGTGCAGTTCAAAAAGGCCAGTTGCCTTTAAACCAACAACAGAGGCATTTATAAGCAACTGCCAGAAGCAACCCTTAACTACTCATGAAAATTCAGTACATGAGTTTGTTAAAGTGATGATGCCCAAATAGCTGGAAATGTTTGAATTAGAGAAAGCTATGGAGGTCTTCTGGTTTTGTGTAAAATATGAATATTGGCAATGTAGCAATGACAGTAAGAACATAATTTTAGTAATACTATTATAAAATTTATGATGTTAAAATATAAGTTATAATACCAAAAATTAATTATGTTTTGAAGATTTTGAAATTTGTGATTATTCAAGATACACAATGTGCGTGAAAAATTTTTACAACTGTGATATTGTGTGCAAAGCCTTCCCTGAAGAAATCTAATTATGTGGGCTCTAAAGTACAAAGACTTTTAAACTGAAAATTTTTAATAGGACTATTATCAAAGTTTATACTATTTTGGAACTATGAAAATAATTATTTTGCTCAAAATTTCAGGATTTGTATTTTTTCAAATTATCGTCCTTCATGCGCTAATGCTTTTTCATCTACCCTGCTGTCCCAACCTTTCTTTTGAAGGGGGGATATGTAAGAAAAATAAAGAATATGTAAAAGATTAAATTAGCAGAAAAAACTAATTCCCTTCTGTATTCTAAAAATAGTAACCTCTATTTGCACTGCGTCATTTCGAGAAAATTCTATGTCATATGACTCTTACATAATTCATGGACCTTGTAAGAGATAAGACTAAACCAGTGGGCAGGGTGCACGTCACCCACATGTCTGCAAGAAAGAGTAGGGACGATCTGGTTTACTTTAACATTGAAACCTATGGCATTTGCATCACATAATTGTTTTTAATTATTAAATGTGATACATTGTATAAGTGATGAGGTTATGAAAGTCACAGTTTGTTCAAATAGAATTTAATACATCTCTTTAAAGCACATTTTACTGCATTTTGTGCATTCTTTTCATGCTTCATTCTTGTATAAACATCTTTACTTTGGCAAAGCAGTAAAAACTCTAAACATAAAATTTATGAACTTACTTTCGAGTACAAATAAAGTAAAATTAAATAAGAATGATAGTACATGAAGCTTTGAAACAAATAAAGCAAAATTAAACAAGAACTGATATATTTTTAAGAAATTTTATGAGAATTTTCAGGCAGTGGTTTTTAAAATTAAGATGATCAATTATTTGATATCATATGATCATTAATTATTAACATCATAAGATGATTATTTATTTTAATAATTCATAAATTTAGAGCATAAACTTTTCTCAGTGTAATGAAAATTAATAAATAAAATCTGGAAGCACTCAGATTTTATATTACGCTCAATTACCTCTGTTTATTGAATATCATTTTCTTCACACATAAACCACACAAAATTCAATTCAACAGCAGTATGTCAAAATATTTGAAAACAGCATATCTTTAGAATTTCAGGAATTGCTAGAATTGCAGGAGATAAAAATGTTATTTTCTGTACAGTGTTGCCATTGTTCGCTTTGAACTCGTTGAGTTTCTTAATCAAAAATTCGTTAAAGTTTTACAAAATAAGAAATGGATTAAAACAAATTTGAAATTCGGCTGTTCGGGTAGAGGATTACGTTATTCAAAATTTGATGGCCCTAGATACTGTCATTTTTTCACAGTGTGAGAAACATACATGTATTCATGCAGATTATTCATTATTAAATTTCTTTAAATGT